TTCCCCCATTTGGCCTATGTGATGAGTGAATCCAATGGAATGAGATGCAGATATCTGTAGTTAGTAGCATCTTTCTGGTTTATAAGCTGTGTAGAGTGTGGAAGGCCTTTGCTGCCCCTAAAGGAAACTATAAGAATGCTGCTGGTGTAGGGCACCAGCTTCAGCCTATTTTATGTATTACATCAACAAGTTAACTGTCATAACCTCACTCAACCTAAAACTTGTATTGCTTGAGTTCAGGATATGATATTATTTAAAATAAGACATTGTGTGTTAAATACTCTTAAAAGCAGTGATGCTGAAATATGAAAGATCAGAGAAATTGACACTAAGCAAATAAGTCATAAACCTATCCTATATAGTACGTGTTCATTGGATTTGAAAAGAACAAAGAAGTAGACAGGATGCATGAACATTCTTTATATCAAACATGTGTGGTGAAATCAAAATGAAAAACAAACTAATCCATCAAGATACAGGTATTTTTTCCTTTCTACATTGTTGTTGTATTAGCAGATTTATGAATAAAGTACTAACACTAAACTTCACCAATTTACACCACCACTGAAAAAATTATAATGTACAAAATCTTGAAAATGTCACTCATCAAATATTTTTGAAAAATAGAGAAAACTTAAAAATAGAAACAAGAAATATGGACATATGAACAAAATGCCCAAATGAAGGAAAACAAGACTAGAATGTTTAAGAATAAAGCAAAATAATCTTCTTTCCGCCAAGTAAAGTTAAGCGTCAGGATATCCAAATTCAAATTTGTACACATTTGGAAATTACCAAAAGTGGGCCACTGGCAAAAAAAATAAAATAAAGAAGATTGAATTATTTACAATTGTTCATGCTTCACAATGCTTCAACATATAATATGTAATAGCCCTATGCATTTAAACACTTTAAGCATACATCAATATTTGTGGACACTGAGTCTTTGTATTTACAGTGAGATATTTAAAGTATACATTACAGCAAGACATTACTGCAAGATCATCAAGTTCATTCTACACCAACAATTAATACATTTTCATTACAATAAGGCAGCTAATGGCATTTCTAATGCAGAACACACATACCATTTATGTTAACCCTGGTAGATAACCCTGGTAGATGCCTGCTGCACTTTCATTGACCACCATAATGGTATAAGTCAACAGGCACATTATCTTCCTCTTCTTTGATTAATGTGCTCTCATTGCCATGACCTATTATAACCATGGAGTATTCCTGGGATTCTTCTGTTTCCACTGGGACTGAATACTCAACATTTTCAAACTCCCATTCTGTATTTAAGTTACAAGCTGTGTTTGGATGTGTAACGGACCCTTGTGGTGCAGCCAGGATGTAATACTGGACATTCTCATTTTCTGGTTCCGTTTTGCGTCTTTCAGAATCTGGCAATGCAGTCATTAACGTATATCCAAGGGCTCCTGTAGGTTCACCTGGGACAAAATGCGCAACGTCCTCAGGGTTTGACTCCGTTTTGACATCATCATGAAGATGACAATATTTTTCCTCTGTGTCCGGTTCTGGTTTTATATTTCCATAACATGGATGCCAATCCTCCTCTTTGATTTGTAAGTTTCCCTGGAGAGGACTGCCACAACCATCACCCACTTGGTTCCCATTGTTTTGGACAATCTTCCTAGGATCTCTTTGTACCTTTGTGCCATCACGAAGGATCCAATATTTTTGTTTTGTTTTGTAGCCTTCGAGAAAATGGACACAATTAACACCTGAATGGTACTTCATTTGGCGCACAAAACGACCAAAGAGCCGACATTGCTTATTTTGTCTCTTCTCTTGATTACTTTGTGAAGCATCGGAAGCAAATAGAAATGGCAATTCGAAGATCTTGTTTGCTTTTACCTTACTGTATCTGTCATAACCTCTGAGCATGGCTTGGACTTTGGTCGTTACAGCTATTGAAAACTCCCAGCTTCTTTTATGTTGGGAGCTAATATCAAAGTTATAGTCAAGGATGTCATACCAAGTGCTTGGCAAATAGCGTCCTTTTTTTTCTTTTTTATATTTATGTATCTCCCACACTACAGCTTGGGTCAATAGCCTCAAGTGCAGTTTTTCTTTCTCTCCGGATTTTGATACATCCAAATCCAAACCTATCTCTGTGCAATTGGGATAACGGATCACCTTACTACAACACATTGCATTTGTTTTTTTACTCTTGTATTGTCTCTTGTAAGGATTATCACTTGTCATTGTGTCTTTTTCCTCCTTTGTTTGCAGTGCCAGCTTTCTTTTTTTAATAACCTCCCTCCATCCAGCACCCTGAATCTGATCTCGCGGAGTCGATTTACGAATTGGAAGTTGTCTCTGAGAAGACTGAAATGGAATTTCAAAGACCTCATTAAACCAGTCAGGCCCACCTTTCTTTGGGGCTAAAGAGTAGAACAAATGTGAAGGACTTGTCCCCTGCAAGTCAATGTTAAAGTTGTGTTCAAGGATATCAACAATGATGTCACCCTTTGTTCCACACAATGATCTGGCAAAACCAACCACTTCCAACATAATTCCGCGAGTCAGTACATTGGTGTCAAGTTTATCTCTTGCTTGGTCTTTGTCAACAAACAGGTTCAAACCTGTGTTCTTGCAAGCAGGAAAGTATTCCACTATCATCTCCTCTATTGCAGAGAAGGAAGAGGACTGAACCTTTTCAGGCTTTGGTGCTGTGCAGTTTGCATCCCCAGAGACAGCGTCCGCCATGGTATGTGTAGGTGGATGATGCATGTGACTAGGGTTAGAGTCATCCTGACAAGTCTTATGACTTCTTTCTTGAAAGCATTTGGGGCAATATTTTGTAGGATTTTGTAGGCATATCAAGTCAGGCAGTTCAAAAGGCTTATTCACAAAGTGCATTTTCATCCCATTTACTGCCTGTATGTTTCTCCATAGTTGCTCTTTATAGGCCCCGCGATACAGTTCATTTTTTAAATCAAGAGGAAAATTATACTCCAATATCTCTGTGACGAAGTGCTTTTGGTCTGATATCAGTGCTGTGGCAAACGTATTCAATTCAACCATGATGCCATTGGTCAGTGATTTTGGGTCGAGATTTAGTTTTTCTCCAGATCCTACATTGAAATCAATGCCTAATGTCCTGCATCTAGAGTAAGAATATAATGGACAATGTTCAGTATGAGGTGTTGAGAGAATTTGCTGTATACGATTTTCCCGCACTTTCCACAGCTTTAAATCTAGTTCATTTTTCTGTTCAACCGCAGAACTGCCTACTTCTTGGTTTGTGATAGCAGTATGGGACGAACCAGCACTACATCCATCTGTATTAAGGTTGTTCCTTAATTTCAGTTTCCCCCATAGATGTTCTTTTCCTAGGTTCTTTGGTCCCTTGAAGGGTTTCACATAGCGTGTTAGATTCCTTTGCTCCACTGTAGCATGGATTCGGGCAACAATGCTTCTGGCAAGGTCAGGATCTCCACTTTGCAAATGAAAATCGAAGTTGTGTGTCAGAATGTCAAGACAAATCTGCTCAAAAGTCCCACACAACTTTTCTGCAAAGTTTGTCACTTCAGCCACTGATCCATTTGTCAGTTTGTTGATGTCCAGTTTTTTATTTGGTTGATGATTGTTAACATTTAACTTCAGACCTATTTCATGGCAGAACGGATAGATATCTACACCCTTCTGTGAAAAATGTTCTGAAGTTTTAGCTTGTGAATGAGTTGGGAACCCGGGAGCAACATCACACTCTTCCATTTTCAATATGTTGCCGAGTTGAGGTTTTACATTGCTGATACCAGGGAAAATAGGAAGTACACAAATCTCATTTGAGAATTTGATCGCATCTTTAGAATTTTCCAGCTCTCTCACTCGATTCATAATTTCCAAAGTGAATATGTTTCGCTGGTCTTCACTCTGCAAGCCGAAATTAAAGTTGTGTTCAAGAATCTCCATGATGAAATCCTGCTTGGAAGAATTCATTGCTAAGGCAAATTTTGCAACTTCGAGCAGATGATTGTCTCGCAAATTGTCAACCCTAATATTTTGCTTTGCACCAAATCCAACATTGAATTCAAGGCCACATGTCATTGAGTTGTAGAATGGAACAAACTCAAATGTTGAGAGGATTTTTCTTGCACGGTTAGCACGCAACTTCCACAAGTTGTTCTCCGTTTCCATTTCTTCTTGTTTCACGTCACATTTGTTTGGTGTATTTCTTGAAGTTTGTGTTTGCACTTCAACTCCAAAACACCCTCTTTCCATTGGTTGATTAGCAAAGGGTGGGTAAAGGTTTGAGTTCTCCGTTTCCATTTCTTTCTGAATGCCTAGGTTTTCTGAATCTGTCATTTCGTCTGAGTCTAGATCAGACTCTCCGAGAGGACAACTGTGTGCTCTTGTTTTCTTTGTTTGCAGTGCAAGCTTTCTTTTCTTGTGAGTAGTTTCCTGTTTGCGGGCATACTGACGAATAACATAAACTTCATTGAACCAGTCTGGCGTCAGTCTTTGGAAATGCATCGTAGGAGAAAAATGTCTCCCCTGCATGCCCATGTTGAAGTTGTGTTCAAGGACATCTTTAATGATGCCATTTTTAGTCCCACACAGTTTTTTGGTGAATCTGGCCACTTCATGAATAATCTCGTTTGTCAATACATTTGTGTCAAATTTATTTTTTGGTTTGTCTTTGTCCACAAACAGGATAAAACCAATTTCCTTGCAAGAAGGGTATTTGGCCATTATCGTTTCCTCTCTTCCTGAGAAGGTAGAGGACTGATCCCTTGCAGTCCTTTGTTCGGTGCAGTTTGCGTCACCAGAGACTATGTCCGCCATTGTTAGTGGATGAAGATGATGCATGTGACTAGGGTCAGAGTCATCCTGAGAAAGCTTATGACTTCTTTCTTGGAGGCATTTGGGGCAATATTTTGTAGGATTTTGTAAGCACATCAAGTCAGGCAGTTCAAAAAGCTTTTTTTTCCGATGATCTTTATCTCTCTCCTTCAAATTTAATAGTTTCATTCTTCTCCATACTTGATGGGTGAAGGCCCTGCGATGCAGCTCATTCCTTAAATTAAGATCACAATTATACTCCAGTATCTCTGTGATGAAGTGCTTTTGTGCTGATATTAGTGTTGCAGCAAATGTGTTTACTTCAACCATGATGCCATTGGTCAACAATTCTAGATCAAGATTTTGTTTGAATCCAGATCCTACATTGAAATCAATTCCTAACTTCTTGCATCTAGAGAAAGAATAAAGTGGGCAATGTTCTTCATGAGGTACTGAGAGGACTTGCTCAATCTGATTAGACCGACATTTCCACAGCTTTAAATTCAGCTCATCTTGCTGTCCGAAATCAGTAGATCTGCCTACCTGTTGGTCTATCGTCACAGTCTGAAGAGAATCAGCTTTACATGCATCTACCTTTTGGTTACTCTGGCAATCCAGTTTGACCATTATTGACGAGTCTTTTCTTGTGTCCGTTCCATGGATTACACAATTTGATAGATTCTGCTTCTCCACTAGAAAAGGAATCCGTGCAAGAATATTTCTGGCAAGGTCAGAATCTTCACTTTGAAAATCAAAGGAAAAGTTGTGTCTGAGGATGTCAAGACATGTCTGCTCAAATGTTCCGCACAACTTTTCTGCAAAGTTTGTCACTTCAGTAATGGATCCATTGGAGAGTTTTTTGATGTCCAGTTTTTTTGGTAGATGATTGTTAACATTTAGCTTCAGACCTATTTCCTGGCAGAAAGGATAAAGATCCACACTTTTCTGTGAAATATGTTCTGAAGTGTTAACTTGAGAATGAGGTGGGAGCAGTGGAGAAAACTTGCACTCTTCTATTTTCATTATGTTGCTGAGTTGATGTTTTACATTGCCCATACAAGGACGAACAGGAAGTTCAAAAACGTCATTTGAGAATTTAATTGCATCTTCACAATTTTCCAGCTCTCTCATTCGATTCATAATTTCCAATGTGAATATATTTCGCTGGTATTCACTTTGCAGGCCGAAGTCAAAGTTGTGCTCAAGAATCTCCATGATGAAATCCTGCTTGGATGAATTCATTGCTATGGCAAATTTAGCAACTTCGAGCAGATGATTGTCACGCAAGTTATCAACACTGATGTTCTTCTTTGCACTAAATCCAACATTGAATTCAAGGGCAACTTTCCTTGAGTTGTATAATGGACCAAATGTTGAGAGGATTTTTCTTGCACGGTTAGCACGCAACTTCCACAAGTTGTGCTCTGTTTCCATTTCTTCTTGTTTCATGTCACATTTGTTTGGTGTATTTCTTGAAGTTTGTGTTTGCACTTCAACTCCAAAACACCCTCTTTCCATTGGTTGATTAGCAAAGGGTGGGTTAAGGTTTGAGTTCTCTGTTTCCATTTCTTTCTGAATGCCTAGGTTTTCTGAATCTGTCATTTCGTCTGAGTCTAGATCAGACTCTCCGAGAGGACAACTGTAGTTTTTTGCTCTTGTTTTCTTTGTTTGCAGTGCAAGCTTTCTTTTCTTGCGAGTAGTTTCCTGTTTGCGGGCATACTGACGAATAACATAAACTTCATTGAACCAGTCTGGCGTCAGTCTTTGGAAATGCATCGCAGGAGAAAAATGTCTCCACTGCATGCCCATGTTGAAGTTGTGTTCAAGGACATCTTTAATGATGCCATTTTTAGTCCCACACAGTTTTTTGGTGAATCTGGCCACTTCATGAATAATCTCGTTTGTCAATACATTTGTGTCAAATTTATTTTTTGGTTTGTCTTTGTCCACAAACAGGATAAAACCAATTTCCTTGCAAGAAGGGTATTTGGCCATTATCGTTTCCTCTCTTCCTGAGAAGGTAGAGGACTGATCCCTTGCAGTCCTTTGTTCGGTGCAGTTTGCGTCACCAGAGACTATGTCCGCCATTGTTAGTGGATGAAGATGATGCATGTGACTAGGGTCAGAGTCATCCTGAGAAAGCTTATGACTTCTTTCTTGGAGGCATTTGGGGCAATATTTTGTAGGATTTTGTAAGCACATCAAGTCAGGCAGTTCAAAAAGCTTTTTTTTCCGATGATCGCTAGAATACATCTTCTTCAAATGTAATGCGTTCATTTTTCTCCATACTTGATGGGTGAAGGCACTGCGATGCAGCTCATTCCTTAAATCAAGATCACAATTATACTCCAGTATCTCTGTGATGAAGTGCTTTTGTGCTGATATTAGTGTTGCAGCAAATGTGTTTAATTCAACCATGATGCCATTGGTCAACAATTCTGGATCAAGATTTTGTTTGAATCCAGATCCTACATTGAAATCAATTCCTAACTTCTTGCATCTAGAGAAAGAATAAAGTGGGCAATGTTCTTCATGAGGTACTGAGAGGACTTGCTCAATCTGATTAGACCGACATTTCCACAGCTTTAAATTCAGCTCATCTTGCTGTCCGAAATCAGTAGATCTGCCGACCTGTTGGTCTATCTTCACAGTCTGAAGAGAATCAGCTTTACATGCATCTACCTTTTGGTTACTCTGGCAATCCAGTTTGACCATTATTGACGAGTCTTTTCTTGTGTCCGTTCCATGGATTACACAATTTGATAGATTCTGCTTCTCCACTAGAAAAGGAATCCGTGCAAGAATATTTCTGGCAAGGTCAGAATCTTCACTTTGAAAATCAAAGGAAAAGTTGTGTCTGAGGATGTCAAGACATGTCTGCTCAAATGTTCCGCACAACTTTTCTGCAAAGTTTGTCACTTCAGTAATGGATCCATTGGAGAGTTTTTTGATGTCCAGTTTTTTTGGTAGATGATTGTTAACATTTAGCTTCAGACCTATTTCCTGGCAGAAAGGATAAAGATCCACACTTTTCTGTGAAATATGTTCTGAAGTGTTAACTTGAGAATGAGGTGGGAGCAGTGGAGAAAACTTGCACTCTATTTTCATTATGTTGCCGAGTTGATGTTTTACATTGCCCATATAAGGACGAACAGGAAGTTCAAAAACGTCATTTGAGAATTTAATTGCATCTTCACAATTTTCCAGCTCTCTCATTCGATTCATAATTTCCAATGTGAATATATTTTGCTGGTATTCACTTTGCAGGCCGAAGTCAAAGTTGTGCTCAAGAATCTCCATGATGAAATCCTGCTTGGATGAATTCATTGCTATGGCAAATTTAGCAACTTCGAGCAGATGAGTGTCACGCAAGTTGTCAACACTGCGGTTCTTCTTTGCACCAAATCCAACATTGAATTCAAGGCCATATTTCTTTGACATGTAGAATGGACCAAATGTTGAGAGGATCTTTCTTGCACGGTTAGCACGCAACTTCCACAAGTTGTGCTCTGTTTCCATTTCTTCTTGTTCCATGTCTGACTTGTTTGGAACATTTATTGGTGTCTGAGATTTCTCCTCAACTCCACAATGCCCTCCTTCATTATGTTGACTGTATGTCGCAAGTGGTGGAATCACATTTAAGTTATCAGTTGGTAAAGTGGATACAATGTAATTGGTGTTGAGGAAAGAAACATGAAGACAGTTTGATTCTGGTTTTCTAGGAATGTCAAAGCCCAGAGAACTTTTGGGGCAAACGTTTCCTGAATCTGTGGCTTTGTCCAAGATTAGTTGAGATGATCCCAGGAGATAAGAACAGTTTCCCTCTGTTACCATTACTTCTTGTTCCATGTCACATTTTTTGCCAGAGTCTGAGTCTGAATCAGACTTTCCTACAGGACAAGTGTGACAATGATCTCCCTCTGCTGTAGTAGTGCTATACAAATGAGTGTGATAAGAGAGTGTGTTTGTTTCCATGTCTCTTTTGCGCCTTTTGATTGCCTGTTTACTTTTTAAATCAGACTGCCTTCTTTTTGTCACTTCCTTAAACTGATATTGCGGAGCTTCCATATCAGACAGAGCTGTTTCTCTGTGTCTTTTGAAGGGATTTGTCTGGAATGAAAACGGCTCAGTTTGAAACTCTGGGCTTATTTTGGTACCAATGTTGAGAAATCTCGTTCTTTTCTTCAGCAAGTGCGATATCTTGAACAAAGCTCGACTTTTTTCTTGTTGACTTTTTAGATCAAGTTCAAAATTGTGCTCCAAAACATCCAGAACAATAGGGCTGTAGGATGCAGTGAGAATTCTGGTGAAGTGAATTAACTCTAACATTATGCCCTTTGTCAGCAAACCTGGCTCTAGACTTTGTTTTGACCCAAAATCAAGGTTCAGACCAATTTTCTCACAAAAGGGAAACAACTTGGAAAAATCATCATCTTTTTGTTTCTCTGCTGACTGTGCTTCTGAAAACTTTAATTCATCTTCATAGTCACTGTCATCACTTTGTGCCCTATCCATCACTTCCAAGAGACTTTCTGCCTTAATGCAATCTTTGGATGTTGCTTGTGAACACTTTAATTCATCTTCATGTTCCCAATCATCAGTGTCATCCGTCTCCACCAGGATACTTTCAGTCTTATGCTTTGTGGATGCCATGTTCGGTTCATTGCTGCTCGAGCATTCTGGATTACATGGTGTGTCAAAGAGAGTGAAAACTTCATTTTTATCTTTAGGAGGTTTCCTAATCAAGTTTTTAACTTTGTGCATAATTCGAGATGTAAAATCAATCCGCTGTTGATCATTTTCCAAATCAAGATTGAAATTGTTCTCTAAAATGTTTGTGAAAAAATGCCTTTTACTCTTGTTTACTGTTTTAGCAAAGTCACAGACCTCAAGTATGACCCCATTTGTCACTAAACCTATATCCAGTTTTTGATGGTTGTTGGATGCTACATTAAAATCCAATCCAATTCTATTGCTGCAATGGAAAGGTTCTGGATGCCTTGAATTTTTGTCTACACACATAATGCGCCACTGCCATACTTTGTTGGCATCCATCTTTTTTTCTTTGTTCTTCAGACAGCAGTTGTCCCCGTTTTCCATCTGCAGTGAATTCATCTACTGTTCTTCTTTGCCTTGTATGTTTTCTTTTCCTGTATTTAGTTAGAACAAATAATGAAATTATATAAACATGTATTAATTATATAATATTTATCAGACTAAAATACCAGATATCTGACACTTAGACCCTTAGTTTCTCAAAGTACTCTGGTTACTTGTGATAGGCATTAGGCAATATCTTTGACATAATGACCATTTCTTTTATTTTCTTTCTTTAGATAAAAGTAATTTGCCAAGCAGCATGTTTAGTGGCTAATGTATTTTTGATTCATCTTATAACTGTGCAGCTCATTTAAAGTTGAATATGTTGGACATATTGCAGATATTTTAATAGTATGTCATATTTTAATTTAATTTATTCTACTACCATACATTTTTTTACTATGAGGGGCATTTTCTTGTACACTAAATTAATACCAACTTTTCAAAAAACACAATTCTACTTACAGCAAATGCATATAGATTTCATCTTGCTACATACCTTGTAAGACATTCATCTTGAATAAAAGCTCTTCCAAGTTTTCTAGCCCACACTGAATGTCTGCTTCCTATGTGGTCATCCTCCAGACAGCAACGAGACTCTTCTGGTACAGTGCTACCATGGATGAAAAAAACATTTAAAAACATGTTTAACAGTGGTGACGGAAGTATTCATAATTATTTCTTTGGTAAAAGTTGTACAATTACAATGTAGAAACACTCTGTTACAAGTTGGAACCCTGAATTCAAAATGTAAAGAACTAAAGTATAGGCAACAACATATACTCAAAAGTACTCCAAGTTACAGTGTAAATCAAAACACTAAGTAAAAGTAGAAATACCAAAGTGTAAGAATACTTCTACAAGTAAAAGTCCTGTATTGCAAAATGTTACTCAAGTAAAAGAACATGTTTTGGCATCTAAATATACTTAAAGTATCAAAAGTAAAAACACTCATTATGCAGATTCAGGGTCGGTTCTAGCCAATTTGATTCCCTAGGCGAGATATTAGCTGGCGCCCACCCCCCAGCGTACAGTAGAAAAGATAAAGATCAATAGAGTATCCAAGGAATACACAATAGAATATATAAAGAATAAATGAAAAATCTCTACAAAAGACAAATACACTACAAAAACAGAAACGCATTGACATAGGTTATATACATCAAAAAGGCTTCAAATGTATTCAGTATTGTATGAACATGTTTGATTTGGGGGGTGGACATCACATCCTCTAGGGCAGTGGTTCCCAACCTTTTTTTTACCAAGGCACACCTGAAAATATTTCTCGACCCCAAGGCACACCAAGTTCTCGTAGATTTAAAAACCACTTCAGAGCTTAAATGTGGGGTAGGTAAGTTTGAGAAACCGGCTCGAGATACACTTTTTGTTATATTCCATGGAATGCTCTTAAAGGTGGGGTAGGTAATTTTGGAGAAACCAGCTCGAGTGCGCCAGAATTTGAAAATACACAGCCGGAAAAAATCTACCACTTCCTTACAGAGCCCCTCCTCCAACACACACGAACGCGCACATGACCAATGAGGGCACGAGGTAAGTTTGTGCTCAGATGGAAGGCTGACAGGCAGGTAGGCCATCCAGTTATTTTAGCCGGGCCGGCTAAAATGATTGGTCATGCTTTTTACAGTACTACGGCTTCCACAGATGACATTTTTTTATGGATTTTTTGTCAAAGCACTTAAGATATTCATTGCTATCGGGATGTTAAGAGCATTCCATGGAATATAACAAAAAGTGTATCTCGAGCCGGTTTCTCAAATGTACCTACCCTACCTTTAATGGACGTCTCTTTAAAATGACCGCTCAGAGGAGAGGAGTTCTCATTTCTCTAACCGCCTGCTGCTTCCCCTCCTCTCTCCTCGGTTCCCCTCCTCGAGTCCTCCGCTCGCATCTCCTGTGGGCTAGACTAAGTCTCGAGGATAGGAGTCGAGGAGGGGAAATTAGAGTATTGAGAAGTCTCTTGAGTGTTTAGATACTTCACTTTAGTCCAAGTTATCTCAGTGGGTCTCAAACGGTTTGGTCACAATTTATGTAAACAAATATTTCCAAGGCACTCCTTTATAATATCCATGAATAAATAAATGTTAACTGGTAAAATAAGATATGAATGAACAACAAAAATAAAATACGTTACATGTATTTGTTACTGGCTATGGTAGGTTATTGGTTATGTTCACATACTTATTTGATTATTAAAATGTAAACCGATCTTTTTCATATGTTTTAGAGTTGTACCCCCTAGATCTAGTCTCTAGTAATTCTGCTCAAAGTGCACCAGATTGAAGCATTTCACTTTAAAATGTTAAAACACATCTTAGAGGCTTAGAGGCTCCGGCAGTGGCTCAGTCAGTAGGGGATTGGACTGTGAGCCGTAGGGTCGCCGGTTCAAGTCCCCGACCAGACCTAAAAATGGAGTGTGGACTGCTACTTGGAGAGGTCCCAGTTCACCTCCTGCCCTGCCGTGGTGCCCTTGAGCAAGGCACCGGACAACCCCCTTCCCCCCCACTGCTCCCTGGGCGCTGTGCAATAGCTGCCCACTGCTCCTAGTACTAGACTCCTGGTACTAGGATGGGTTAAAAGCAGAGAACAAATTGCACTGTGTGTGCTGTGTGCTCTGCATGTGTGACCATTAAAGAGGGTATCATCCCTCCCAATATTATTAATATTATTATTAAATTATTATAGGATGTGACGTCCACCCCCCAATTAAAACATGTTCATACTATACTGATTATATTTAAAACCTTCTTTATGTAAGCAACATGTCAATACGTTTCAGTTTTTGTAGTGTATTGGTCTTTTGTAGAGATTTTTCATTTATTCTTTATATATTCTAATGTGTATTGCTTGAAGGGGCACCAAATCATAATCTCGCCTAGGGCACCAAAATCTCGAGGGCCGGCCCTGGCTACAGAGACCATTCAACTAATACAATATTCAGCTTTTTCAGCTAAATTCAGCAACAAATGTACACAGTTTACAGCATTCCCAATCATTTTCAGTAGGAAATGCATTTTCGCGTTGTATTTACTTAATTTACTGCTGGCCAGCAAATTAATGTAATCCTGGTGCTGCAATTAAAGTCCTAGTTTTTATCTACATCTGCACATGTACTGAAGGTATTACACAAATGCTGTAGAGTACAATATTTACCTCTGAATTGAACTGGAGTAGAAGTACTTAAGTTCAGTACTTTAGTTTAGAACTTAGTTTCTTACCACCACTGCATATAGGTTTACTGTAATGGTGATAGCTATGACGCTTTTTGTCATCACAATGCCAACCTTTGACGTTACAAAAAACCTACTTCTGTACGGCGACAAAAGCAGATACAAGATTAAATAGGTTCGACTAAGAACACGCGACTCACATTTTCGACTTTCATTGTTTATATGATCTCATACACGATAACATCTCAACCAAAGTGTGGCCAACACGTTAGACTAGAGGAAGAAAGTTCCAGCCGCCATGCTTTCATTGTGACGACGTTAATCACAACCGAACCGCCATGATCGAATAACAGCGAAACAAATGGTAGTACACGTACCAAAGGTAGGCCGAACACTCTCGGAGACTTTATCCTTCCTTGTTAACATCACGTACGTTGTCCCAAAAGATGTCTTCTTATATAAAATCCAGGCGAATCTCTTAAATGTAGAACAGTCGATGCACAGCTTTCACAGGAAGCGAAGAACGAAGATCTGAGCGGACATTTCAAAATAAAAGTGTCACCATCAGCGATCAAAACGGGATTTGTCAATGTGCACAATTAAATGATTACTGACAATCAATGTAATACATTCGTTATTTCTGTGTTTTCCAACACATTGCTTGATCTTGCAGCACTTTTATAAGCTTTAAATCATGACATTTCTAAGTTTAAGTAACTCATTTCCGGTGGTACTACTGCCCTTTTAAATGTCACAATCTTAAATTATTTAAACAATCATTCAAGGGTATTCAATTATAATTCAAAGAGGTCCAGATCCTCAAATGTTCTACCAGCAAAGTTCAGAACCTCATATTGTAGAAGTAGCGTACTATGGTCTAACTCTACATCTTTCTTTATTCTTACTTCCTAATAAGGCTGCTGAGTGGTGAGCTCATTGGTGAGCCAAGAAACGGTGCTTAGTTTTAAAAATGCCTGTTCAATCTTTGTGGAGGAGGCCCGACTCACAGCTGTAAAACAATACAGTAACAACAGACAGAAAATAAACATTGCTGTGAAGATTATTTATCCTCATGAATTGATCAGAAATTATTAACAGACTCAATAAATGAAATAAGAGGAGATATTCATAATTGTTGGAGATACTTGCCTGCTTTTGAACTCAAACTGAGCAGGCTATTACAGTTTATTTCACACAAAATACACCCAGACACTTCAATACATTGACTTTCTAGCCAATTATGCCATAAAGAAACTTAAATATTTAATTCAACCACATCAATCAGAAAATAAAACACAATCCAGCAAAGTATTTTTCATTAGTGTATGTATCAGATGCCAGAGACAAGTTTGGCATACCGAGTGAAATAGTATAATTTTGTTTAACTTTTATGTTATGTTCATAATTCTGGGTGGGAAAAAAACTTGAGAAATAACTGCACACTACTGCGTTGTATCATAAAGATTCTGTTTCCTGTTGGAGCATTTCTTTAATCTGTACAGTTTTAGTGCTAGTTGGGGCGTGTTCAGAAAGCTCTGAAAAGCTGGTTTGGTATCCCAGGTGGAGGAAGGAAGATTGGGCTTCCCTCTCGAGGTTAGCCAGTTCCAGGACCGTTGGTGCCAGAGCATCCACGTGACCCTTGTAGTTACCACCTAGGCAAGGGCAACAGGTTTGTTAGTCATGCTCAACACAACTGCAGTTGATGTATCTGAAGTCATCCAAAGGTACTTTGATGTCTGGCTTGCACTGTGTGACGGTGCACTTCAGATGCTCCTCAATATCTGACAGGAGCTGTGGAGAGAGGAAAGGGAATAAAAGACACAAGTAGAATAGAGAATCCACAATGGTTAGTGTGGAATTATGTCATAAGGGTCAAAAGTGTGTGTGCTCAAGCTTTCAATGCTTCCAAATTATAGCAAAACCTTTCTGCTCATTGGAGTTTTACTTTGAATGTTTGCATCTGCTTCCTAACAAATCACTTAAAAAGCCCTCTGCTGAATCAGTTGTATATCAAATTACAGATTTTCCTAGCTTGATTTAGTTTGTTTCTGCATCTTTGTTCACCTCTTTCTCTTTGTACCAGATGGTGCAACCTCCGTCCTCCTTCAGTCGCGTGTTCAAGGTTCTTTATTAGTCATACAACCATAGCTACAGAGTAGTTATGTCGATGAAATTCTTAAGTCACAGGCTTCTCCAACAGTGCAACACAATATTACTGAAAGACAGAAAAATATAGTGCAAGTAAATATTAAAAGTAACTGCAAAAAGAAAGGAATATATTACAAAAAAAGTGAAATAGTGAAATAAGAGTCTATATGCAAGCTATTTGAATGATATATTAGGTAAATAGATAAATGATTACTAAGTAGCAGAATGTTATGAATGTTGTTACAGCGGTTCAGGTGTTTAACAGTCTTATCGCCTGTGGGATGAAACGGTCTTTGAATCTGTTGGTTCTTGTCAGGATGCTGCGGTAACGCCTGCCAGACGGCAGCAGACAGAACAGTTTGTGGCTAGGGTGATGGGAGTAAAGGTCCTCCATGGATGGCAGCTCCGTCCTGGTGATGTTCTGTGCAGTTTTGCAACATTTAATTTGAACTTCTTTCAAAAGTGATCTGTAATTAAAATGAATTAGCATATTTCTGTATCTCTGCTACCTTCTCCTTTTCCATAGCTGTCCAACTGGTGAACTCAGCCACAGAGTGTGTTGCGGGCCTGCGCACAGAAACCGAGTTTGGTGCGCTATGGGATAAGTGTGGAGCAGCAGAGGACACAACTGACCCGCCCCAAAGTAAGAAGAGACGCACAACAAAAAACACAGCTCTACAAGATCACGTTGTAGAGCAATCTACTGGAGCACGGCTTGACCAGGACGAAACAGTAACAGAAAGTAGGAGACTGTTTTACAGCTGCATTGACGCAGTGTGTGGAGAGATGGCACGACGCTTTGGAGAGCGCAACAGCGCACTGATGGAATCACTGGCTTCACTTGATCCTGAGAGTGATTTATTTTTGAACACAGACAAAGTATTGCCCCTGTTGGAGTTGACCAGCACTAAACTTGTAGAAGCCGAGTTTGTTGTGGCCCGACAGTTTCTTCGCGCACAAATGGAAGGCTCTACGCCCCCAGATGATGGAAAATGGACCATTAAAACACTCCTCACCACCTTCCACAAGACCCTGGAAGCCATGTCAAGTGTCATAGGGGCATTTAAGTCGGCCTTAACTTTCGGGGCCTCCACTGCTACCTGCGAGAACTCGTTTTCAGCCCTGAAAAACATTTTCAGTGACCACCGACGGAGCATGCTGCACCAGCAGAAAGCTCACCTTATTCAACTCGGGTTTGAAAAGGACTTGACCAGGAAATGCAGGGATGAGTGGAAGGACACTTTACTGAGGCGATTTCATTCTTCAGGCAAACGGCGTCTCCAGCTTTATTAGCATAAAGCAGTAAGTATAATGTTTGCATGTCAATATGTCAGTGCTTACTGCGCCACATTACGCACTGCATAATGTGGTGTTGCGTCGCTCCCTCTCTGTATTATTATGTTTGCTGCTCCGGTCAACGGTGGCCCAAGCAAAGCTGTTGCTGTTATGTTTTTATTTCAAATGTGTGTGTTAAGGGAAATGTGTACATATGTCCTCGCAGTTGTTGTTGTTATATTATATTATATAATATATATATATATATATATATTATGTATTATGTATATTCTGTACTCAAGCTCACAAAGGGATGTCATGTTATTATTGTTGTACCACTGTGAGGCACTGAAGTGTTATGTGCTATAGGACGCAGGCTTTCGTCATATGTAAATGAGGGTGTGTTCACCTGATGCACATGTCCAGATCTATGTGTGTTGTTGTTCTAAGTTAGCTCGGCTGAGCGAAAGGATGCACCTGCAGTGCATAGGAAAATAAACCATGCCCAAGGCGGGCTAAACAGTTCATCGTCTCCGTCTCTACTATTTCTCTCCGAGTGCAACAATGAGGAAGCTGCCATCCTTAACCAGTGTGCCTTGCTCGTGATTTACTACCAGTGTTTGTGCTGCCACGCACACAATGTTTCAAAAGTGGTTTCTATGTTGCCCTTTATTTGTGTATGTATTTGCGATAAGTGTGCATCTTTACGCAATGCTGTTGGCCTTGCTGTTTGATATATATTGTGCCGCAGGCCCGCAGCACATGACGGTTTTGTGTGCCCTCCCATGAAAATCATATGCCCTCCCTTTAGATTTGTTCTGGCGCCGGGTCTGACCTGAGGGATTTGGTTATGAATCCTGTTGATAAAGTCTGTATAGCCTGCGGACAGAAGGCCATCCTGAGGGATACAGGGAACACAGAAAAATGATGAGTGACTTCAGGGATGGTTAAGCTATGAAAATCACTGATTAAACATTAACTGTACTTTGATGGATGCAAAAATGAATGCTTCTGATTTTAAAAGGGAAATACTCAAGATGTGTTGTACATACACACTCATCCAGGACGAGAAAGCGGACTTGGGACAGACTGAGCTTCCCGGTGGATATGAGGTCGTACAGTCTTCTGGGTGTTCCCAAGACAATGTCAACCTTATTAAAATTTGACACAAAAATCAGAAACAGAAGAGGCAAACAAGGCAAAAAAGATCTGTTAGTTAAAAATACTTAAAGTGTAAACTCAGTTTGTTTGGAGACGGTACATGTCACATACCCCATGTTCCAGAGCAGCCATCTGGTCCTTGGCAGGCACACCACCAATCACCAACAGGTTCCTGTAAGCCACATCAAAAAATTACTGCATTACTGATATCAACATTTAAAATTGATCACTGGCTCCATCTGCTGGTATAAAACAAAAATGTCATCTATAAAAGATAATGCAGGGAAATATAAAAGTATAACACTGTTAAATGTGCAGAATGTATATTTTTAGATATGGCTCAGCATAAATCCTACACAGGAAATGGTTTTCCGATGTTTGTCAAATCCAGTGTTGTTAATACCTCACTAAAGTCATACCTGAGTTTGGGGTTATCCACGTATTTCGCACATTGAATGACATTGTTGAGGGTTTGTTGGGCCAATTCTTTAGATGGCTCGATGATCAGGGCTTTGGGTGAATTGGATGTTGCTTTCACCTGACTCACTTTGGCACTGCCTGCACAAACAGAGAAAAGAGGGCTAATCAATGCAGGAATATATCAGTCACATTAGCAATGGTAAAATGACCGCTCTGGTAATATGATTTAAAAATGTCTAGCGAAAGAAGGCTTTTATTGTGAAACTAACTATTGTTTTATCTAAATTGTCTCTGGTTAAGGTGTATGATAGTCATCTCATTTACATTCGGTATCTGTTCTTTTTGCATATGAAATAAGGTGGTACACCTGCCTGAGTAGATTTGACTGCGTGGCCCTCTGGCGCCTGGTCCATGGCAACAAACCCACTCTTGGGGGCATTTTTAAAGTCTTCTCCTCCAAAGTTGAACTTCAGCTCTGCATTCTTGAATACAGATAAGAAAAAGAGCCATTTGTATGGTGTAAAACTGGCACCTGTTAGTTTTTTTAATCCAGCATTACTTTGATGTGATACCTTTAGAACGCAGGAGGCAAAGAAGGGCTGACTTTTCAATTGTTGAGGGATCTCAAAAGCCACACCCAGGTCATTACCTGAAGAGAAGAAGACAAGAAACATGAGAAACATTGCTATAGTGCCCCAATTAGTTAATGATAATAATATGAATGATAACTACTAGGACTGCACCATTTTTAGAGAAGGACATTTGGCCCTTGTCTACATCCAAGTAGCATCCAATGGTATCATGCATGGTAAACTCCTGCAAAGAGACAAAGTACGAAAATGAAAACAAGTTTGAAAAAGGATCTCAGAACTGTTTACATATCTAAATATTCAATAAGTAATAGCTACCTCTCCATAGCTGTCAAACTGCTTGTTGTTGGATTTCTTTCCAGTCCCACCAAAGCCAAAACCATACTTATCAGTTCCCGGAAAGAAATAAAGATTACAAGATTAACAATGTTTTCTAGTCAAATAGTTTATTATAGACTGAGTATCTTGTACAGCATTAAGGGGGCATACCCAAGTCCAGGGCTGCCTGACTGGTGGACCACCCAATGCGACATAGACCCTGGTCATGGCAGGTCACCTCATAGTAGTACTTCCCTGGACAAATAAAGACATAAATAAGAACCGGCAACAGTTGCAAAGAAATAAATGCTTGTTCATTTATGTAAGACAATCGAAGAAATGGTTAGTTCCCCTGTGAAATGTGAATGTTGTACCTTTGGTAACCCCTTTTGTTAAGAGACAGCCATGCCACTCTTTGAACTCCCTGCTCTGGCAGCACAGTCCATCTGGACCAATTGCTGTACGGGTAAAAAGCAGCGGCGAAACCGTGCCGCGCCACACTAATTGCGCCCAATAAGCGCTGCATTTTTGGCTCAGTTGAGGCACCCTCCGCTGTCTGCATGATCGGAAAGTAGGGAGGGACGGCCCTAGATAGATAGATAGATAGATATATAGGTAGAGTTATTAAGCCTACATTCTTTTGTGTGACTGTACCTGCAGTTCCTCCCTGACTTCCATCACTTTCTCTTTCTCTCTGCCTGTCCTGTCTCTTCCACCAACGCTGAGCTTCGACTGACGTAGTATTTTCATTATATCCGAGTCAGTGTAAAAAGAAAACAATACAATGTTATATCTTCAATGTTTTACTCAAATTGAAATGAAATAAAACCATTACAACGTTTGTTAAAGGGTAATCCTTCTGACATTGGATGAATGTCTAGCTAGTTTATTCACGCAATTTAAAACAAAGTTTAGCCTATAGCTGCAATATAAGTTAGTGTGCATGTTGTCGGACGTCCAGTGACTAACGTAGAGCGTTCACACAGGATCTGCTGGTCATATGATGTTCTGATGAACAGGAACACAAGCAGCCCGCTGGACTCAGATCTCTAGATACCTCATCACTCCTCCGCTGCTCCGGTACAAGTCCGGGGCCCGTTCTCATTTCATCAAATGTCCCTCCTCGACTCCCCTCCTCGACTCCTATCCTCGAGACTTAGTCCCGCCCACAGGAGATGCGAGCGGAGGAGCCGAGGAGGGGAGCCGAGGACAGAGGAGGGGAAGCAGCAGGCGGTTAGAGAAATGAGAACTCCTCTCCTCTGAGCGGTCATTTTAAAGAGACGTCCATCAATGATGACAGGAGGCACAGCAGCCCTCTGTCTGATGGACAGATGTGGTCATGACGACTTATATATTTACTTTTAATTCATTCACAGTGCGGTATAATGAGACAATAACAGGCTACAGATGCGGACATATATACACACACACACACACACACACACACACATATATGTATATATTTATATAAATATATACAATTTCAGAATCAAACAGAGCACTCTCATAATAACGTAACACTATCAGAGACTGGATATATCCCCCCCCCCCTCTCTGGTCGCTACAATGAGGGAAATAAATGACGGGCCAAAAGTTTTATTTACAAGTATTACAAGTAAGCAGAGGACACCAAACCAACTGAGAGCTGTCTGTCCGCTGCATCTACGCACACACTGTACCACACACACTGTACCACACACACTGTACCACACACACGCACCTACAGCTCCTAAAGCATATAATCAGGCTACAGCCGTTGTGTATTTTATTATGTGAAGCACTAAATGGTTTTAGAAAAATATCGACTTTGTTTGTAGATATCTACTAAACTAAAGCAAATAAAGAGAGTAGGCCTGTTATACTGAGTGATATGATATATATTATACACACTGCTCTGCTTTCTGCACGGACCTCACAGCTGTTCTCACTGTAAACATTGCGTCGCGATGAAAGCAGTTAATAAAATAATATCCAGGGGATGCATGCAGAGCTGTCATTGGCTGAGATAAGTCCGGCCGTGCGTCTCGACTCTTTGAAACATCACTGTTGCCGGAAATGCATCCACGAAGGAGCCGTGGAGGACCGTGGAGGACCCATCAGTGTATCCTCGGTTATAGCACCTCCAGAGAGCCTCCTCGACGCTCGATGCTCGGTCCTCGATGTGCATTTCGAGAAATGAGATGTCCTTCAACATGGCGCGCTTAAATTCATTTCCGGGTCACTACCGGAGGACCGAGGAGTCGAGGAGGGACATATGCCCCTTTCACACCAACGCAACTCCGGTTCAAGCTCCGTGCTAGAGCTTTTCTGGTTCAGAACCGGTTCTTCGGTTTAGCGCCGGCTCTTTTCACACCGCTCAGAGCCCGACTGGTGCTGCCGCTGCTGCGTCATGACGTCACAGTTTACGTCGCTGAGTTTCTCCCCAACGCCGGAGCTCACCTCACAACAACAACGGGCCGGGGACTGCGTCGGGTCGACGATCGTGTTGCTTTTAATCATACGAAGCCAGATTAAATTAAATAACGACTTCTCCAACCTTATACTTTTCTCCAGAGTGCCGTGGTTCATTGTTTATTAATGTGTTTCAGCGGCATTTACCGACCGCTGCTGGCTGCTCTTCAACGGGAGTGTATTCTCCCGTTAGCTCCGGGTTAGCTCACACGGCTCTAAAGTATTCACTGTCTGACTGTCACACAAGCAGCTGATACATATCCCCAGTTCCCCTTAAGTGAATGTGTGTCAGTCTGAATTGACGCTGTTTGGCATCACAACGCTGTTATGAAAGTTTCTCTGGTATAACATGGGTGATGTTAGCATAGCAACCGAAGCTAAACTGACTACTTGCTAAGCCGTTTTCTACAGGCACTTTTTACCGGCGTATTTTTCATTATGATTCTACTTGTGATAGTCGGACATGACAACCTGTGCAGCCCATGTATTGATTCCATCCGATAGCTGCTATAATAACAAACAACACGTCTGCCTGCTCTCCACAATGATCAATAACAGCGAACGGATGGTCAAAGTAAGGTACAAATAAACAGAATCACACGAAGCCTGGTTAGTGTTGCCTGACTTTATAAAGCGTGTTTTTTTTTACAAGTGTGTGGTTGCGTTCTAGTCACTTTGCTCAGCACTACTGCTTGTTACAACTTTTATTTGCCGTACTCGCCTTAACTGTTAGCTCAGGTTAATCTCGCCCCCCTCCGACGTACGCGTGACGTATGCGGTTCTTGCTTCTAGACGGACAACTTTTTGGTGCTCGAAACGAACCGGATTCCGGAGCTATGACGCTGCTCCGCTGCGGTGTGAACAGGAAAACCCGGTGCTTTTCAAGCACCAGCACCGAACCGGCCCTGAAACACCGTTGGTGTGAAAGGGGTAATAGAGTGGCGAAGTCACGCCCACTTACTTCCGGGTAATGGGACCTTATTTCGGAAAAATTATGCATTGAAGTCAATGGGGAGAGAAAACGTATCTTTCGATCCCGTTTGAATTGTGCCATGAATTACACATATGATGTTTGTCAATCTTAAAAAATAATTTCCATGTAAAAAAAGTCACAGTTTGTCGTAAAACTGTTGAAATATAAGACTATGAAAAATACGTAACTAGAAAGACTACAAATCCCAGAGTCGCGTAAGTGATGTCACAATTGTTTTCCTCCACCATTCAGATACCTAAGATCAGCGCAATATAGATATAATCTATCTATATGGCGCTGGCTAAGATAAGATAACTTTAACAAGATGCCTGTGTGCTTAGTACCAGGTTGTTATTATACCAGCAATGGGTCTTGCTCGTTCTTTTGCTTCCCATCTGATGAAAGGACCAGGAGTGGCTTGATCAAGTTAGCTACCTAGCTAGTAGCTAGCACGTTAGTTAGCATTACAGCCTTGTCATTTTTATTAGCCTTAACATGAAGTAACATTAAGTAACCCAAAATGTTAAACAGTAAGAGTAGTAGTCATATTTCGTGAACCCTTTGAATAGTACTGTCACCGGTGTGATCATTCTATAATACACCATTTAAGCCCGGGGGAGAAATGCTAACGCTAACGTTAGCATCGGCGATCTTCTCTACTTCATGCTATCTGCACAAATGGTTGACATTAAACATTAAAACAACCAGGCAGTTCAGAGAGAATCAAAGGAAGGCAGGCAGGCAGCTTTGCATGACATTCTTCAGGCCGTGTTTCATTGTGCTGATAGTGAGGATAGTCAATCGTTTTGTTGACAAGACAGTAGTGACGGCCATCTTGGTGACGTGTGTTGTTGACCAGAGATGTAGTTCATTGAGCGTTTCACACAAACAAATGTGTTATTTCACAGTTTTACGACATTTTTTTTTTTTTTTGACTTGCAAAATTATCATTTAAATTGACAAACATCATATGTGTAATTCGTGGCACAATTCAAACGGGATCGAAAGATAATCTTTCTCTCTCTATAGAGTGGCGAAGTCCCTCCCCTTCCGGTGGACCTCCATGGGACCTTATTTCGGAAAAATTATGTATTGAAGTCAATGAAGAGAGAAAGATTATCTTTCGATCCCGTTTGAATTGTGCCACGAATTACACATATGTTGTTTGTCAATTTAAAAGATAATTTTGCAAGTCAAAAAAAAAAAAATGGGTCTTAAAACTGTGAAGTAACACATTTGTTTGTGTGAAACGCTCAATGAACTACATCTCTGGTCAACAACACACGTCACCAAGATGGCCGTCACTACTGTCTTGTCAACACAACGATTGACTACCCTCACTATCACCACAATGAAACACGTCCAGAAGAATGTCATGCAAAGCTGCCTGCCTGCCTTCCTTTGATTCTCTCTGAACTGCCTGGTCGTTTTAATGTTTAATGTCAACCATTTGTGCAGATAGCATGAAGTAGAGAAGATCGCCGATGCTAACGTTAGCGTTAGCATTTCTCCCCCGGGCTTAAATGGTGTATTATAGAATGATCACACCGGTGACAGTACTATTCAAAGGGTTCACGAAATATGACTACTACTCTTACTGTTTAACATTTTGGGTTACTTAATGTTACTTCATGTTAAGGCTAATAAAAATGACAAGGCTGTAATGCTAACTAACGTGCTAGCTACTAGCTAGGTAGCTAACTTGATCAAGCCACTCCTGGTCCTTTCATCAGATGGGAAGCAAAAGAACGAGCAAGACCCATTGCTGGTATAATAACAACCTGGTACTAAGCACACAGGCATCTTGTTAAAGTTATCTTATCTTAGCCAGCGCCATATAGATAGATTATATCTATATTGCGCTGATCTTAGGTATCTGAATGGTGGAGGAAAACAATTGTGACATCACTTACGCGACTCTGGGATTTGTAGTCTTTCTAGTTACGTATTTTCATAGTCTTATATTTCAACAGTTTTACGACAAACTGTGACTTTTTTTACATGGAAATTATTTTTTAAGATTGACAAACATCATACGTGTAATTCATGGCACAATTCAAACGGGATCGAAAGATACGTTTTCTCTCCCCATTGACTTCAATGCTTAATTTTTCCGAAATAAGGTCTCATTACCCGGAAGTAAGTGGGCGTGACTTCGCCACTCTATTTGATGACATGAGAAAGGGCCCCGGGCTGCGGTGGTTTGTTGATACAAGTCGTCTTCTTCTGTTTTCTTTAATCGAGGCTACGTAGTTATGCAGCGCCCCCATCGTCAGTAAATGGAAGTACTACAAAGAACCCTGTTTAGTGCCGTTATTTCACAAGTTTTGTTATACACAGCTCGGAAAAAATTACCGAGGTCCGGACCTCGGTGACCTCAATGGTGGATATACGGCCCTGTGCACAGATATCACAAAACAGACGTAGATTTGGCCAAGTAAGCCTGAATGATTTACAGCCAGTCTAACTCTTCCACAGCCAGCGCTATTTCAGGCATAACACCCATTTATGTTCAACAAAATACATATTTAAGGTTTCACTGCACTCACGTGGTTTTTTAAATTAAAGTAATGTTGAATTCATGCAACATGAACAGGGTTAGATTGATAGATATTCTTACCCGAAAACGCTGCCATTATTGCTGCTACGAACAATATGGTCCAGCTGCAGTCGCAGCAAGTACACGACACGCCCCCTACACGACTCTCCTGGTTCCTGGTGATTTACCTGTTGCGGTAGAATATCTGCGGTGATCCGGCATCCAGGCTCGCAAATCTGGCTGCAGGAGAGGGATGAACTGATCCAGCAGCCGGGGCTGGGTGGACTTGAAATGGGCGTCTCAAGATTCAACCCACACAGCGTTACGTTTCAGACTTCCGGATGTGATTTTCACAATAAAACCCCTTGTCGCTCCTCATATGGCAGTCTTCAGGTTTTGATAACGAAATGAACAATAAAAAACGTATACGCAGAGGTGGGAAGCAGGGGCGGACTGGCCATCGGGACGTTCGGGACGAATCCCGATGGGCCGGTACTGAAGTGGGCCGGTCGGACGATGTGGGCCGCTCGGATAAGTCACTAGCACCCCCCCCCCCCCCACATTTTTCTATATATAAACGTTATTGGAGTAAAAGTTATTTAAAAAAAAAAAAAAATAGTTGATTAACACTAATTGTTTAATAATTGGTAATCCATCTCTCTCCATTTATTCCATTAATATATTCATCTTTATCTTGCCTAGACCATTTTAGATGGCTGTGTATGGTACAAGATCTAAAAGTTCTACCTCTCCTGGACAGACGTAAAAAAAAAAAAAATGTCATCTGTAGTTTATTTAAGCATGTTTGATTGAATGCTTGCAAATGAGTGTATATATTATACATTACCATTGCTAGATTATATATTGAAAAATCCTTTTAAACGAGGTATACATTGTTCTTGAACCACAGAAGATCAGAATTACATCGGTTACATAAACATACACCAGATTCAGTTTCAGCAGGGGGTCATACTGATATGACTGCTGTTATTTCTGACTAACTACTGTCACAATCATCTAATGTAATCATGTCAGTTCCAAGTAACAATTAAAGACTTTAACTTTGAAGGCACAACCCCTTGACCTCATTGTTCCGGCTGTTTGAAGATAATTTCAATGGTCAGTCTTCGTCAAAGAAAAATTACTGTTAAACATTGTATGTGCTTTATTCACACGTATTACTGATATGCAAAGTGTTTTAAAATGGCTTTGGCTAAAGTTGTACAATATTTTGTAAACAGACCCTTTCCATAATTTCCTTTCCCCCCCATTTGGCCTATGTGATGAGTGAATCCAATGGAATGAGATGCAGATATCTGTAGTTAGTAGCATCTTTCTGGTTTATAAGCTGTGTAGAGTGTGGAAGGCCTTTGCTGCCCCTAAAGGAAACTAAAAGAATGCTGCTGGTGTAGGGCACCAGCTTCAGCCTATTTTATGTATTACATCAACAAGTTAACTGTCATAACCTCACTCAACCTACAACTTGTATTGCTTGAGTTCAGGATATGATATTATTTAAAATAAGACATTGTGTGTTAAATACTCTTAAAAGCAGTGATGCTCAAATATGAAAGATCAGAGAAATTGACACTAAGCAAATAAGTCATAAACCTATCCTATACGTGTTCATTGGATTTGAAAACAAAGAAGTAGACAGGATGCATGAACATTCTTTATATCAAACATGTGTGGTGAAATCAAAATGAAAAACAAACTAATCCATCAAGATACAGGTATTTTTTCCTTTCTACATTGTTGTTGTATTGGCAGATTTATGAATAAAGTACTAACACTCATCTTCACCAATTTACACCACCACTGACAAAATAATAATATACAAAATCTTGAAAATGTCACTCATCAAATCTTTTTGAAAAATAGAGAAAACATAAAAATAGAAACAAGAAATATGGACATATGAACAAAATGCCCAAATGAAGGAAAACAAGACTAGAATGTTTAAGAATAAAGCACAATAATCTTCTTTCCGCCAAGTAAAGTTAAGCGTCAGGATATCCAAGTTCACATTTTTACACATTTGGAAATTACCAAAAGTGGGCCACTGGCAAAAAAATAAATAAAAATAAAGAACAATTGTTCATGCTTCACAATGCTTCAACATATAATATGTAATAGCCCTATGCATTTAAACACTTTAATCATACATCAATATTTGTGGACACTTTGAGTCTTTGTATTTACAGTGAGATATTTAAAGTACACATTACAGCAAGACATTAAGACATTACTGCAAGATCATCAAGTTCATTCTACACCAACAATTAATACATTTTCATTACAATAAGGCAGCTAATGGCATTTGTAATGAAAAACACACATACCATTTATGTTAACCCTGGTAGGTAACCCTGGTAGATGCCTGCTGCACTTTCATTGACCACCATAATGGTATAAGTCAACAGGCACATTATCTTCCTCTTCTTTGATTAATGTGCTCTCATTGCCATGACCTATTATAACCATGGAGTATTCCTGGGATTCTTCTGTTTCCACTGGGACTGAATACTCAACATTTTCAAACTCCCATTCTGTATTTAAGTTACAAGCTGTGTTTGGATGTGTAACGGACCCTTGTGGTGCAGCCAGGATGTAATACTGGACATTCTCATTTTCTGGTTCTGTTTTGCGTCTTTCAGAATCTGGCAATGCAGTCATTAACGTATATCCAAGGGCTCCTGTAGGTTCACCTGGGACAAAATGCGCAACGTCCTCAGGGTTTGACTCCGTTTTGACATCATCATGAAGATGACAATATTTTTCCTCTGTGTCCGGTTCTGGTTTTATATTTCCATAACATGGATGCCACTCCTCCTCTTTGATTTGTAAGTTTCCCTGGAGAGGACTGCCACAACCATCACCCACTTGGTTCCCATTGTTTTGGACAATCTTCCTAGGATCTCTTTGTACCTTTGTGCCATCACGAAGGATCCAATATTTTTGTTTTGTTTTGTAGCCTTCGAGAAAATGAACACAACTAACACCTGAATGGTACTTCATTTGGCGCACAAAACGACCAAAGAGCCGACATTGCTTATTTTGTCTCTTCTCTAGATGACTTTGTGAAGCATCGGAAGCAAATAGAAATGGCAATTCGAAGATCTTGTTTGCTTCTACCTTACTGTATTTGTTATAATCTCTGATCATGGCTTGGACTTTGGTCGTTACAGCTATTGAAAACTCCAAGCTTCTTTTATGTTGGGAGCTAATATCAAAGTTATAGTCAAGGATGTCATACCAAGTGCTTGGCGAATAGCATCCTTTTTTTTTTTCTTTTTTATATTTATTTATCTCCCACACTACAGCTTGGGTCAATAGCCTCAAGTGCAGTTTTTCTTTCTCTCCGGATTTTGTTACATCCAAATCCAAACCTATCTCCGTGCAATTGGGATAACGGATCACCTTACTACAACACATTGCATTTGTTTTTTTACTCTTGTATTGTATCTTGTAAGGATTATCACTTGTCATTGCGTCTTTTTCCTCCTTTGTTTGCAGTGCCAGCTTTCTTTTTTGAATAACCTCCCTCCATCCATCACCCTGAATCTGATCTTGCGGAGTCGATTTACGAATTGGAAGTTGTCTCTGAGAAGACTGAAATGGAATTTCAAAGACCTCATTGAACCAGTCAGGCCCACCTTTCTTTGGGGCTAAAGAGTAGAACAAACGTGCAGGACTTGTCCCCTGCAAGTCAATGTTAAAGTTGTGTTCAAGGATATCAACAATGATCTCACCCTTTGTTCCACACAATGATCTGGCAAAACCAACCACTTCCAACATAATTCCGCGAGTCAGTACATTGGTGTCAAGTTTATCTCTTGCTTGGTCTTTGTCAACAAACAGGTTCAAACCTGTGTTCTTGCAAGCAGGAAAGTATTCCACTATCATCTCCTCTATTGCAGAGAAGGAAGAGGACTGAACCTTTTCAGGCTTTGGTGCTGTGCAGTTTGCATCCCCAGAGACAGCGTCCGCCATGGTATGTGTAGGTGGATGATGCATGTGACTAGGGTTAGAGTCATCCTGACAAGTCTTATGACTTCTTTCTTGAAAGCATTTGGGGCAATATTTTGTCGGATTTTGTAGGCATATCAAGTCAGGCAGTTCAAAAGGCTTATTCACAGAGGACATTTTCGTCCATTTTACTAGGTTTATGTTTGTCAATAGTTGCTCTTTATAGGCCCCGCGATACAGTTCATTTTTTAAATCAAGAGGAAAATTATACTCCAATATCTCTGTGACGAAGTGCTTTTGGTCTGATATCAGTGCTGTGGCAAACGTATTCAATTCAACCATGATGCCATTGGTCAGCGATTTTGGGTCGAGATTTAGTTTTTCTCCAGATCCTACATTGAAATCAATGCCTAATGTCCTGCATCTAGAGTAAGAATATAATGGACAATGTTCAGTATGAGGTGTTGAGAGAATTTGCTGTATACGATTTTCCCGCACTTTCCACAGCTTTAAATCTAGTTCATTTTTCTGTTCAACCGCAGAACTGCCTACTTCTTGGTTTGTGATAGCAGTATGGGACGAACCAGCACTACATCCATCTGTTTTAAGGTTGTTCCTTAATTTCAGTTTCCCCAATAGATGTTCTTTTCCTCGGTTCTTTGGTCCCTTGAAGGGTTTCACATAGAGTGTTAGATTCCTTTGCTCCACTGTAGCATGGATTCGGGCAACAATGCTTCTGGCAAGGTCAGGATCTCCACTTTGCAAATGAAAATCGAAGTTGTGTGTAAGAATGTCAAGACAAATCTGCTCAAAAGTCCCACACAACTTTTCTGCAAAGTTTGTCACTTCAGCCACTGATCCATTTGTCAGTTTGTTGATGTCCAGTTTTTTATTTGGTTGATGATTGTTAACATTTAACTTCAGACCTATTTCATGGCAGAACGGATAGATATCTACACCCTTCTGTGAAAAATGTTCTGAAGTTTTAGCTTGTGAATGAGTTGGGAACCCGGGAGCAACATCACACTCTTCCATTTTCAATATGTTGCCGAGTTGAGGTTTTACATTGCCCATACCAGGGAAAATAGGAAGTACACAAATCTCATTTGAGAATTTGATCGCATCTTTAGAATTTTCCAGCATTCTCACTCGATTCATAATTTCCAATGTGAATATGTTTCGCTGGTATTCACTCTGCAAGCCGAAATTAAAGTTGTGTTCAAGAATCTCCATGATGAAATCCTGCTTGGAAGAATTCATTGCTAAGGCAAATGTTGCAACTTCAAGCAGATGAGCGTCTCGCAAATTGTCAACCCTAATATTTTGCTTTGCACCAAATCCAACATGGAATTCAAGACCTAATTTCTTTGAGTTGTTGAATGGACCAAACTCGAATGTTGAGAGGATCTTTCTTGCACGGTTAGCACGCAACTTCCACAAGTTGTTCTCCGTTTCCATTTCTTCTTGTTTCACGTCACATTTGTTTGGTGTATTTCTTGAAGCTTGTGTTTGCACTTCAACTCCAAAACACCCTCTTTCCATTGGTTGATTAGCAAAGGGTGGGTTAAGGTTTGAGTTCTCTGTTTCCATTTCTTCTAGTTTCATATCACCTTTTTTTGGTTCATTTCTTGAAGTTTGTGTCAGCTGTTCAACTCCACAACGCCCTCCTTCAATTGGTTGATCTGCAAAGGGTGGGTTAAGGTTTGACTTCTCCGTTTCCATTTCTTGTTGTTTCATGTCACCTTTGTCCATTTCATTTCTTGAAGTTTGTGTCAGCTGATCAAATCCGCAACGCCCTCCTTCATTTGGTTGATTAGCAAAGAGTTTGTTTACGTTTGAGTTTACATTTGGTAAACTGGATGAGATGTCATCGGAGGTGAGGGAAGGCACGGGATGACCCAGACAACTTGATTCTAATTGTCCTGGGATGTCTGAGCTTAGAAAACCGTGATTCTGAATGCCTAGGTTTTCTGAATCTGTCATTTTGTCTGAGTCTAGATCAGACTCTCCTAGAGGACAAGTGTAGTTTGCTCTTGTTTTCATTGTTTGTAGTGCATATTTTATTTTATTTTGAGTAGTTTTCGGTTTGTAAAAAACATAAACTTCATTGAACCAGTTTGGTGTCAGTCTTTGGAAATACATCATACGAGAAAAATGTCTCCCCTGCATGCCCATGTTGAAGTTGTGTTCAAGGACATCTTTAATGATGCTAAATTTAGTCCCACACAGTTTTTTGGTGAAAGTGGCAACTTCATTCATAATCCCATATGTCAATACAGGTATATCAATCTTAGATTTTGGTTGGTGTTCGTCTGCAAACAGCATAAAACCGATTTTTTGGCAACAACGGTAGTTGTCCATTATCGTTTCCTCTCTTCCTAAGAAGGTAGAAGACTGATCCCTTACAGTCTTTTGTCCTGTGTAGTTTGCATCATCAGAGACAGCGCCCGCTGTGGTATGAGTACGAGGATGATGTATATGACTAGGGTCAAAGTCATTCTGACAAAGCTTATGACTTCTTTCTTGAAAGCATTTGGGGCAATATGTTGAAGGATTTGGTAGGCACATCAAGTCAGGCAGTTCAAAAAGAGTATTCATCAACCGAAGTTTGGATCTCTTGATATTCATTGGTGTTACTTTTTTCCATACTTGCCGTGTAAAGGCACTGCGATACAGCTCATTTTTTAAATCAAGATTCAAATTATACTCCAGTATCTCCGTGATGAAGTGCTTTTGAGCTGATCGCATTGCTGCAGCAAAGGTGTTTATTTCAACCATGATACCATTGGTCAACAATTTGGGATCAAGATTTTGTTTTATTCCAGATCCTACATTGAAATCAATGCCTAGTTTCTGACATCGAGAAAAAGAATAAAGTGGGCAATGTTCTTCATGGGGTACTGAGAGGATTTGCTTAATGTGATTAGCTCGACATTTCCACAACTTTAAATTTAGCTCATCTTGCTGTACAAAGTCAGTAGATCTGCCTACCGGTCGGACTATTTCCACACACTGAGAAGATCCATCACTACATGCATCTAAATGTGGGTTCCTCTGGCAATCAAGTTTTACCATTGTTGTAGAGTCTTTTGTGGTGTCCTTTCCAGTTCTATGAATTTCACAATTTGATAGATTCTGCTTATCCACTATAAAAGGAATCCGTGCAAGAATATCTCCGGCCAGGTCAGAATCTCCACTTTGGAAATCAAAGCAAAAGTTGTGTTTGAGGATGTCAAGACATATCTGGGCAAATTTTCCACACAACTTTTCTGCAAAGTTTGTCACCTCAGTCATTGATCCATTGGAGAGTTTGTCAATATCCAGTTTTTTATTTAGCTGTGGATTGTACACATTTAGTTTCAGACCTATTTCCTGGCAGAAGGGATAAAGATCCAAACTTTTCTGTGAAATATGTTCTGAAGTGTTAGCTTGAGAATGAGGTGGGAGCAGCGGAGAAAACTTGCACTCTTCTATTTTCATTATGTTGCAGAGTTGAGGTTTCACATTGCCCATACCAGGACGACCAGGAAGCTCAAAAACCTCATTTGAGAATTTAATTGCATCTTCACAATTTTCCAGCTCTCTCACTCGATTCATAATTTCCAATGTGAATATATTTCGCTGGTATTCACTTTGCAGGCCGAAGTCAAAGTTGTGCTCAAGAATCTCCATGATGAAATCCTGCTTGGATGAATTCATTGCTATGGCAAATTTAGCAACTTCGAGCAGATGATTGTTACGCAAGTTGTCAACACTGATGTTCTTCTTTGCACTAAATCCAACATTGAATTCAAGGGCAACTTTCCTTGAGTTGTAGAATGGACTTAACACGAATGTTGAGAGGATTTTTCTTACACGGTTAGCACGCAACTTCCACATGTCGTGCTCTGTTTCCATTTCTTCTTGTTCCACGTCTGACTTGTTTGGAACATTTATTGGAGTCTGACATTTCTCCTCAACTCCACAATGCCCTCCTTCATTATGTTGACTCGCAAGTGGTGGAATCACATTTAAGTTATCAGTTGGTAAAGTGGATACAATGTAATTGGTGTTGAGGAAAGGCACATGAAGACAGTTTGATTCTGGTTTTCTAGGAATGTCGTAGCCGAGAGAACTTTTGGGGTTTTGTGACTGATTCTGTTTGCAAACGTTTCCTGAATCTGTGGCTTTGTCCAAGATTAGTTGAGATGATCCCAGGGGATAAGAACAGTTTCCCTCTGTTCCCATTACTTCTTGTTCCATGTCACATTTTTTGCCAGAGTCTGAGTCTGAATCAGACTTTCCTACAGGACAAGTGTGACAATGATCTCCCTCTGCTGTAGTAGTGCTATACAAATGAGTGTGATAAGAGAGTGTGTTTGTTTCCATGTCTCTTTTGCGCCTTTTGATTGCCTGTTTACTTTTTAAATCAGACTGCCTTCTTTTTGTCACTTCCTTAAACTGATATTGCGGAGCTTCCATATCAGACAGAGCTGTTTCTCTGTGTCTTTTGAAGGGATTTGTCTGGAATGAAAACGGCTCAGTTTTAAACTCTGGGCTTATTTTGGTACCAATGTTGAGAAATCTCGTTCTTTTCTTCAGCAAGTGCGATATCTTGAACAAAGCTCGACTTTTTTCTTGTTGACTTTTTAGATCAAGTTCAAAATTGTGCTCCAAAACATCCAGAACAATAGGGCTGTAGGATGCAGTGAGAATTCTGGTGAAGTGAATTAACTCTAACATTATGCCCTTTGTCAGCAAACCTGGCTCTAGACTTTGTTTTGACCCAAAATCAAGGTTCAGACCAATTTTCTCACAAAAGGGAAACAACTTGGAAAAATCATCATCTTTTTGTTTCTCTGCTGACTGTGCTTCTGAAAACTTTAATTCATCTTCATAGTCACTGTCATCACTTTGTGCCCTATCCATCACTTCCAAGAGACTTTCTGCCTTAATGCAATCTTTGGATGTTGCTTGTGAACACTGTAATTCATCTTCATGTTCCCAATCATCAGTGTCATCCAGTCTCCACCAGGATACTTTCAGTCTTATGCTTTGTGGATGCCATGTTCGGTTCATTGCTGCTCGAGCATTCTGGATTACATGGTGTGTCAAAGAGAGTGAAAACTTCATTTTTATCTTTAGGAGGTTTCCTAATCAAGTTTTTAACTTTGTGCATAATTCGAGATGTAAAATCAATCCGCTGTTGATCATTTTCCAAATCAAGATTGAAATTGTTCTCTAAAATGTTTGTGAAAAAATGCCTTTTACTCTTGTTTACTGTTTTAGCAAAGTCACAGACCTCAAGTATGACCCCATTTGTCACTAAACCTATATCCAGTTTTTGATGGTTGTTGGATGCTACATTAAAATCCAATCCAATCCTATTGCTGCACTGGAAAGGTTCTGCATGTCTCGAATATTTGCCTACACACATAATGCGCCACTGCCATACTTTGTTGGCATCCATCTTTTTTCTTTGTTCTTCATACAGCAGTTGTCCCCGTTTTCCATCTGCAGTGAATTCACCTACTGTTCTTCTTTGCCTTGTATGTTTTCTTTTCCTGTATTTAGTTAGAAAAAAGAATGAAATTATATAAAAATGAATCACACTATTTTTTAACCAAAGTATTAATTATATAATATTTATCAGACTAAAATACCAGATATCTGACACTAGATATATTAGACCCTTAGCTTCTCAAAGTACTCTGGTTACTTGTGATAGGCATTAGGCAATATCTTTGACATAATGACCATTTATTTTATTTTATTTCTTTAGATAAAAGGGATTTGCCAAGCAGCATGTTTAGTGGCTAATGTATTTTGATTCATCTTATAACTGTGCAGCTCATTTAATTTGAATATTTTGGACATATTGCAGATATCTTTATAGTATTTGTCATATTTTAATTTAATTTCTTCTACTACCATACATTTTTTGACTATGAGGGGCATTTTCTTGTACACTAAATTAATACCAACTTTTCAAAAAACACAATTCTACTTGCAGCAAATTCAGATAAGATTTAATCTTGCTACATACCTTGTAAGACATTCATCTTGAATAAAAGCTCTTCCAAGTTTTCTAGCCCACACTGAATGTCTGCTTCCTATGTGGTCATCCTCCAGACAGCAACGAGACTCTTCTGGTACAGTGCTACCATGGATGAAAAAAACATTTAAAAACATGTTTAACAGTGGTGAAGGAAGTATTCATAATTATTCCTTTGGTAAAAGTTGTACAATTACAATGTGGAAACACTCTGTTACAAGTTGGAACCCTGAATTCAAAATGTAAAGAACTAAAGTATAGGCAACAACATATACTCAAAAGTACTCCAAGTTACAGTACTTATTAAAATCAAAACATTATAATACTGGATAAAAATAAGTAATTCATTAGCATGAATTCATTAGCATGAATCCATCAGCGAAGGAACAAAAAAGTCTTGCATGTAGGCAGAGGTGGAAGAAGTACTCAGATCTTGTTCCTAAGTAAAAGTAGAAATACCAAATAATAATAATAATACATTTTATTTTTATAGCGCTTTTCTCGAACCCAAAGACGCTTTACATTTGGGGAAGGGTAGACAGACAAGGACAGGCAATAAAACAACAACAAAACAAAAACAAAACAGAAAAACAAAACAGAAAAGCAGTCAGGAGGAAGTTGGTTGAGAGGGGGGGGGGGGCTTATGGATATACAGACTTGAAGAGATGGGTTTTGAGGCGGGACTGGAACAGGGTGAGAGACTCAGACTCACGGAGGTCTTGGGGGAGGGAGTTCCAGAGCTTCGGGGCTGCCACAGAGAATGCTCTGTCCCCAAAGCTCCGGAGTTTGGCCTTGGGGATGGAAAGCAAACCGGCTGAGGTGGATCTGAGGGACCGGGGTGGTTGGTAGAGGATGAGGAGGTCAGTGAGGTAGGGGGGGGGCCAGGTGGTGGAGGGCTTTGTAGGTGAGTACCAGGAGTTTGTATTGGATGCGGTGTCAAACGGGGAGCCAGTGAAGTTCTTTGAGGACCGGGGTGATATGATGCCATGATTTGGTGTGGGTGAGGAGTCTGGCGGCTGCGTTCTGGACACGCTGAAGTCTATTGAGGGATGTAGTGCTGATGCCGTAGAGGAGTGCGTTGCAATAGTCCAGGCGGGAGGAGATGAAGGCGTGAATGAGTCGCTCAGCTGCGGGGCGGGTGAGAGAGGGACGGAGTTTGGCAATATTGCGGAGGTGGAAAAATGAGGTTTTTACAACTTGGCGGATGTGGGGCTCGAGGGAGAGGGTGGGGTCAAATATCACGCCAAGGTTGCGTGCCTGGGTGGAGGGGGAAACAGGGGTGCCATCGATGGTGAGTGTCAGGTTGGGGGTTTTGCTGAGGGTGGATTTGGAGCCGATGAGGAGGAGTTCAGTTTTATTGCTGTTGAGTTTGAGGAAGTTGTGTGCCATCCAGGATTTTATAGCAGTCAGACAGGATTCGATGTGGGTGAGGGGGGGTTGTGGGGGGATTTGGTGTACTTCTACAAGTCAAAGTCCTGTATTGCAAAATGTTACTCAAGTAAAAGAATAACACGTGTTGGCATCTAAATATACTTAAAGTATCAAAAGTAAAAACACTCATTATGCAGATTGGCCAACTTCACACTCCTAATCGTTTTGATTATAATTATTGATGCGTTTATCAAGCTGGTTAAGGTGGCACTAATTAGTGTGAATGCTGTGCAACAGCATTCCACTATTGTTCTTCAAATCTTTATTCTTCAACTTATTTTGACCAATTTTTGCCGTTTAACTCCTTCAGCATACTTTCACCTACAGAAAACCATTCAAATATTAAAATGTTCAGCTCCTTCAGGACATGACTGCTATGACTTGTAACCTAATAGGAGGAACCTTCAAATCCTCTTTTACCTACACCATGCGCAAAATGCTACTGCCTTCTACATACTTTCAGCTAGAGACTTCGTTCCAACTTTAAAACGGTCACAAGACATTCAGCTATTAAACTTATTCTTCAGATTTTTGATATTTTGTACACTTGAGATATTCAAATTAGTTTGGAGCTTGGTAAAGAGGCCTTCTTCAGATTTTAACATTAGTGTGTATTGCGCAGCTCGTTAAGGGTTAGAGTGCGTGGTGTCACAGCTAGAGTGGAGGAGAGCTTGAAATTCGCCTTCAACCTTTTTTCTTCAACCTGCCATAACTCCCAAAGCCTACAATCCTTGGACATCATTTTTATGAAAAACGTAGGAAAACCTCTCTTACGTTAAAACAATAAATACAAAATTAAGAAAAAAATGTGAACAAAAAGAATTCAGCCTCATCTTTCATGACAGCACCAGCTGCACACCTTTAATTAATTTGACAAAAAAGCCACATTATTAACCCGAAAGTACACAAAAAGCACACTGAGACACTCCTTAGGGTCCTGACATTCTCCACGCGTTGATATCTTACCGATAGCTGCTACGGTTTTCAACAAAAGTTAAAAATGTAAGAGGTTTCCCTCTCTCCCCCTCTCTGACATCTCTCCCCTGAACTCTCCACCCTGCCTCCAACCTTTCTCCCCTGCCCCAAATGGTCCTGGACTTTAACCCCCCCCCCCCCCACAAACACACACACACACACACTCTTCCCTCATCCAGCACCAGTCACTTTTCTGCCCATCTCTGCTGCTACTGCGCTGAAACTGTACTTTGAACTTTTTAAATATATTATTAACATTTTAAATTGTATACCCTGTTTATCTAGGCCCTTTTTGTTTTGTTTTATGTATATATATATATATATGTCACACTGTGGGACTGCGGGAAACGATATCTCGAGATTTCTGGATGTATAACACATTTAGTAATTTTGACAATAAAGCCTGACTTTGACTTTATTTCTCATTCAGAACAATGGAAAGGCTCTCCTTTGACTGATCTGCACATCACCATGGTAACCTCTGATCTCTGGGCTCACACACAAGTGTTTGATAACGTCGTCACCTCAAACACAAACACACAGACTGGAGTTTAGCAGACTGTCTCAGCCTAGGGCTGCTCGATTATGGCAAAAATCCTAATCACGATTATCTTTGGTCAATATTGATATCACGATTATCCATTGACTTTGAAAACATCTATTTATGGAACTTTTGAAAAAAAAAAAATTATAATGTGGACAGTATGTTTTTAACAGTTGATTACCCTGAACTTTAAGTATAATTCAACTGAAAAACCAATACAAAAATAAATAAAATAAAGAATACATTTAAATAAATATAAAAATAATAAACACCAATAAAGAAGATCAACAAATATTTTGGAGCGCACTTCCACAACCTACTAAACATATATAAATATGATAACTAATGTCACTCACAACCTGTAATGTTTAATTATACTGCTACACGCAGTACTCTTATTTTGGTAACCCCTTATCCGGAAGTAGCGAGCTAAGAGGTTCCAGCTTGACGAGGTTAGCAAAAGTATACTGTACGCTAGAGCTGACCGGAGGAGAATAAAGACACGGCAACTTAAGGTCCTGACACACCAAAGAACACGTCCTGACGGACCTGACTGTTGTGACGCCTCACGTCTCCTGCGTCTTGGCCAAAAAGTCGCACAGGAACACACCGCAAAGACTTCAGCCGACAGCCAAGTAGCGCATGCGTGAGTGGCAATAACTCTCCTTACCAGCAGGGCGGCGGTAGTGTGTATTCGTCATTCAAAAGAAGCAACCGGAAGACAGACTTTGTGATATATGTTTCCACAAGACTGTTTCACATAGCGACTTATCGAAAACATGTTTATTGCGGTAAGGGCGGTATCAGCTCCCGAATCACCATTTCCAAGCGGGAGCGGAAGGTGTCGGCACGGCCGAAAGCACCGACGGTGCGGGACCACACCAATCTGAGTAGGGCGACAGGACGCTCATCGACAGCCAGACCATCTATGCGACGTCGAAATTAATCGGCTTTGGTGTTGTCAGGGTCTTAAAGCTTTCTTTGTAAACGTGTTTATATGGAGGTACTTAAAACAGACTGCAAGTCACAAACACAACCTGGGCGAGAGGGGCTTTTTAGGGAGGGACGGAAAGCGCACATGCGGGCAGGAATGTATAACGCAATAGCAAATTGCAGAGCATCATTGCGAAAGGGAATGCAGCAAAAATACATCGTTTTATTTTGATTACGTTGTTTTCGTACTCGTTGGCGAGCCAAAATCGGAATTGAGATTAAAATATGAGTTAATGCACAGCCCTATCTCAGCCTACTTATTTTCTGTCTGATAGAGACTTCATACTGACTTCAAACATGTTCACATTATTTTATACATTATTGGTGACGTATGGTTTTAGTTCAAAAGTTTGCAGTTAAAATATTCTGCTGCTTTTCTAAGCGTTTTTACTTTCTTTTTCTCTTCTTAATACTCATTTCATTCACTACAACTTACATTTACTATCTAACTCCTTCAGCCTACTTTCAGCTACAGAAACCATTCAACTATTAAATTATTCAGCTATTTCAGGACATTGAGGCTATACATTTTGTGTTATACCTTTTTTTAAACCTTTTCTTTTAAATATTAAGCTTCTCTCACTATTTTTCCTACTCTTCCAGTTTAAACATTTGCACTTTCAAGTTTTCAACAAAGTCATTAGCCGCTTTCACACCAAGTACTTGCCGTACTTGGTGCCCCGGCACTTAATACCCAGGGCACCAAGTACAGATCGCGTTCACACCGGAATAAGTTCCCTGAGGGAAGATTACGCAAATGAGCCGCTGACGTCACTTCTTCTTCTTCTGCTTTGGGTTTACTAGCAGGCCGCAAACAACTTCACGGCGTATACTGCCACCCGAAGTCCCCGGAGTTGGGGACTGGCTTCACTAGAAGCTGCTGGGACTCCCAGCAGCTTCTAGTGAAGCCTTCAGAGTAAATCGTCAGAACACCGACACCTCCTCATCACTCCACCGCTCCCATGTTGTTTTTTGTGTTGCCATAAGTTATTCTCTCTCCGTTGGTACAAAATTATGTATTGAAGTCAATGGGGAGAGAAAGATTATCTTTCGATCCCGTTTGAATTGTACCACGAATTACACATATGATGTTTGTCAATCTTAAAAAATAATTTCCATGTAAAAAAAAGTCACAGTTTGTTGTAAAACTGTTGAAATATAAGACTATGAAAAATACGCAAC